TGTGTGTGTGTGTGTGTGTGTGTGTGTGTGTGTGTGTGTGTGTGTGTGTGTGTGTGTGTGTGTACACATATATATATATATATAATTATGATTGAATCAGATAAATTTCTGTACATAAACATGTCAATTTCCGCATTCAGTGTTATTATCGATATTTGTTAATATTTTGAGAAACCTAAACTCTCAAACAATTCTTATCCACTGCAATACTAATCTTGCTAAATATTATTTATTAAGTACTGTACAGTAATTACAAGCTATGATTGTTTTCTGTACTGTAATGTATATGCTTTTACAATTGTTAACCCTATTTGCTGTAAGTGAAAACCGTTATGAATGTCGTAAGAAGTTTGTAGTCACCCATCTTACAAGCCATCTTCTGTAAAGCTATTACAAAATGGAAAATAAAGGACAGACTTGATAACTCTGCGTAAAAATAATTTAATTAACTGATGCTGATTCACTTAATATTCATCATATAATGTCACACTGATTCAGTAACACACAAATCACATTAAATTTAATAGACAAGTAGACAGTATATAAATTCTGAAATATATTATAAATACTGACAGCAGGAATTAGTCTGAGGATTCAAGCCAAGGACAGCCCAAGTTAACCAGTACTGTAGATGTTCATATCCACTGGGGCCTTTGTTTAAGGAGATATTGACTTGGTTCTGTGTGTAGTGTTCTCTCCCTGGGTCTAAAGTTATAGGGCTTACTATGATGCTAAAATAATTACAACAGCAGAAGTATTCCAAAATAAACAACAAGATATTGATTGGTCTCATGCAACAAACTGTACGGAGATAAACAAGGCTTTGGAGAAGTTCAAAACTACTTTTACTGATGTTTTTGATTATGTAGCACAATTAAGGGAGAAAATTATAAAAACAGGGACTAAATCTTGGATGACTAGCAAGATATTAGACGCCATCTGATACAAAGATAAATCATCAAATAAAAAAAGAGCAGGCATGAACCAAACCGCACAAAAAGTACAGATATAATGCAATCAAAATCATAATACTGTACTGTACTGCACCTGCGTTTTTCAAAGTTGTATTAACGGAATACAATATAAAGAGTGAAGAAAATAAATTAAAAAATGCTCTGGAAGCAACTATTGGACACAGCCACAAACCAAAATATCTTCAACCTACTGTTATACTGTATATTGATAATGAACTGTTTAATGCATTATTTTTATTGTTTAATTTTTGCAGGAATAACACACCCGGGCACAGGTCATCGATCTATACTATACTGTACTGTATTAATCTTTTTTTTTTTTTTTTTTTACGGGAATTCAACCGGGCACAGGTCCATTGTATTAATCTACAGCAAAGATGCAAAACCAGCTTTAAATTGAGACATTGGATGAGTATGGAAACACAGAAGAAGGCAGAGCATTCCACAGTTTGGCTGTGTGAGGAAAGAAGGATGTAGGATGATAACGGTTATTCTAGTGTGACCGACATCAGAGAAACGGTGGGCACCGTGGCAAGACGTAAGCCAGGTTTGCCGGCACAGGATGCCAAATCCATGAACACCGTTAAAAGTACCTGTAAAAAGAGTGAGTGAAGCAACATTGCGAGAGAGGGGGACAGAAAAAGAGCTACCCCAGATATGAAAGCAGTATTCCAAGTTAGGGCGAATGAATTTTTATACAGTCAACCTCGCTACAGCGGTCTCACATTCCACGCGTACGCGGTACCCCGTAAACAGGAATGCTCACATTCCGCTGCGTGTACCCTTTTACTGAGGATACTGAGGCAGCGACATTTTTGATTCAAACCTCTCCCCGCCATCCGCCAGTAAGCCGCCAGTAGCGCAGTGTATGTTCTTTGTTGCGTTCTTGCCAGTGTATATCTTTGTTGCGTTATCGGTGGCGTCTATGGCGTAACCAGACTGTGATTGAGCAAAGCATCCTTACCTCCCTCCCCTGCTAGCTGTGATTGGTTTAATGTAGTACTATGGCGTGCCTGCAGCGGGCGTTCAAGCCCTCGACCTGCCGCGTCAGTTACACCTCCCAGCTACACAATTAATATTAGTATCAATTGTTCCATAAGAATGGCTTCCACGGACCACCACCACAAAAACCTTGCATTACCTGGACCCAGCCGCCCTAAGCGAAGACACGGCGTTCCTTAAGCTACGAAATCAAAATATAAAAGATCATGCAAGAGTTGGAGAAAAGAACACGACGCAGGTTGATCATGGCGCCAGCATAGTGTTAACGAATCAACTATCAGGACAATTAGAAGGATGCAGCCAAGATAAGGAGCATAGACATCATAAAGTCTACAGGTGCTTCTATGATCAAATCATTTACAACCAGGTGCTTCTCAAGGCGGAAAAAATTACTTGTGAGAGCTACTTAATTAAATCATGACCGGAACATGGCGGTGGACCGCACTCAGTTAAGAATGCGCCGCATTGAACTGTATGCTGCAGTGTTACAAAAGATGGGAATTACAGAGCCCAAACCATACAATGCTTCCTCTGGGTGGTTACAGAGGTTTAAAAAGAGGAACAAGATCAACAATATCAACATTGGTGGTGAAAGCTAGTGCTGACCGTGTTTACTTGTTTAGAATTTCCTCCGTTTTACGTGAGATTATGGAGGAAGGACAGTACTGCCCAACAACCAGGTGTTTGCTTTTATGGACAGATCTGGTCTTTTTGGGAAAAAAGCTACCTTCCAAGACCTTCGTTGTGAAGAATGCCAGCAAGTGTGGAGGCCGGGGAACACCAGGCGCATCACCGTCCTGTTTTACCACCAATGCCTCCGGTACCTGTAAGCTCCAAGTTATCATTGATCCACACAACGCGCGCAAGCCCTTGCGCTACAAACATCGGACGCCCAGCCAAGCTAAATGTCCACTGGCTGACCGCCGCGTAAGTGGATGTTCTCTACACTGTCCCTCTCCTGGTTTGATGACTGTTTCGTTCGATGTGAAGAAGTTCTGTGAGCAACAGAATGTGCCATTCAAGATTTTGTTGCTGCTGGACAACACCAGGACACTACGCCCTACTGTTAGATCGTCACCCCAACATAAAGTGGTCTTCCTTCCTCCCAACACAAGGTCTATAATACAGCCATGGACCAAGAATTGATCTGTAATGTAAAAGCTGCATTCTGCTAAAAATTCAAGCTCCTGAATGACTACACAAAACCAAGGAAGGTGCAACCTGTGAGTGAAGCTGCTGCGATGTAAGAGCAAAGGCAGCGGATCAGCAGTTAGCAGAGCAAGAGAATGCACCCCCAGGAAACAATTCTGGAGAACATTCAATGTCCAAAGCTGTGTGGACTTCTTGGTGGAGGCATGGGATCCAGCTGTCTGTAGCAACTGTTAGATCACGCCAGGGGCATGTGTTGCAAGGCAATCCGGCTGTTAGGCAAATAAATCTGTGACTGGTGAGAGTTCAGACATGTTGTGCAGTAGCAGTGGACCTTGCCAGAAAGCTTCTGCAGAGTGTTACAGCTGCAGGCTTCTCCGAGACCTGCTTGACAGCGGTATCCTGCTGGAGGTGATAAAGGGATCTGATGTGACTACCGACGAGATGCTAGATGATGATGACGTCAGTGAAGAGGCAGGTGATCACGTCATCCCAAGAAGAGCGCCCGCTTATCCCATAGTAATGTAAGAGGTGCCATCGAGTGTACTGAAAGTCAAGCGCCTCTTTTCCGACGACCTGACACTATGGTGTGGAAATCTTCACTACCCAGCTGTTACAGACTATGGAGCCCTATATCAAGGTTTATCACGATAACATAAGCTTACCAGCCCGTCAGCAAAGCATAACAGGGGTTCTTCGCCACAACCTACAGCCAGCCAAGCCAGTGATGGTAACCAGAGGCAGGACAGTGATGATGACTTTGAGGATTTGTCAGGAGGCACTAGTAAGTGTGGATGACACCGATGAAGACTCACCTGAGGGCCCGTGCAGCCTGCCCTCTGCCTCAGAACCAACCCTCCATTCCCCCTCGCCCAACCATCTCTTCTACTAACGTAAGTGTTAACCCCAACCTTGTTTTTTTTCTAGCTAACCTTCAGTTTATTTCTCTTATTGATTGTTCCCTTCTATATTAAATTATTGTGTGAATACCATCATAAAGTTAAGATGTTATTTTAGTAAAAAGTCGTGTGTCAGAAGAGTGGAGTTTGGGGGTCGTACAGTCTCTAGGTCGGCCTGGTCTCTATTTCAATTAATCCCATATGTTATGTTGTTCACTTTACGCGGGCCGCCGTGGGTTCAATTAACCAGAAGTGAGGGTTCACTGTACTGCATTGTGCACATACAGTGGTGTTTGCATAAATAAATATAGCTCTGTCTCTCAATGTGGGATGTTTAGTTTAGACTCTCAGAAAACTTTCCCCAGCACCAGGAAAAATTTTGGGGAAGTGATTTTTTCTGGGGAAGAAAAAATTCATCTGCATACCCAGAAATTTCTCATTCCCAGAAGAGCTCTGCATCAATTATTCCAGCTAACAGGAAGTACTGTATTACTATAATTATTACAGGTTAGGCCCAGGAAATTCATTAAATGGTTCATCATATTCCAGGGTAAGTGTTGGCCAGTGCTCTGATCCTTTTGGGTTATTCCTTAGACACTGAATCAGACACAGTACTGTACCTCAATAACTTGCTACTGTAAGTGGCTACTGAATTGAAAGCAGCTTCTACACGTTATAGAAATTCTCATCCAGGTTGCCGTAGGGAACACAGAGGGTAACCAAAATAAACAGTAAAAATCTGTTACTCACCCTTTCTACAAAGTCAATGGTTTTATGAAATTTCTTCTGAAGTTAAGAAATATTTTCTGGACTCCTAAATACAGTACAGTACTGTACAGTACAATAATGTAATATCATAAGGTCACTTTGTTTCCACTTTTAGTAGCAGGACTCTTGGGTACAACACTAAACATGCTCTTGTACACTCACAAAATTAAGAGACAACTACAACCACGAATCATTTACTTACGCTTAGAATCATTAGCAGTGGACGCCTGTGCTGAGGCTCGTGACCATAACTGTTGACCAGTGTGAAGAATTTGCTGGAGGGAGCGATCAACACGTGGAAGCTCACCTCCACCGTTTAAGTTACTAGCAAGTTGCTCTGCTTGTTGCAGCAACTCCTGCAGGCTACGACCACTCATCTTGATGCCTGCAACATAACCATTAGAAACCTTATAAAGTTCAACATACAATATTCTTCTTGACTACTGTACACGACAGTATAGTAACTATTATACATTATTACAGAGTATAGTATTAATATATACTGTACTGTACAGTATATTGGGGAGGGATGGCACCTCTGTGTTGAAAGGTACCGCTGCCATCATACACATTTATGTTAGAATCACTTCAGGAATTGTCTCCTGAAGTTAAACTTTAAGTCCTGAGACACCCTATGTGCGATTACTAATTGTTTTTATCCCAATAGGTATTTTGATTTTTACCATTATCACTAGGATTCTTTTTTAATTAGGAATCGCAACCCACCCCTCCCAAAGTATGTACAGGTAGCTAATTGTTAGTCCATCGCAATTATGACCTACAGTAACCTAACCTAACCTCCTAACTGGGGGGGGCCCCTGAACATATATAAGTCATTTCTCGATAAATCCATACAGGAAAAGGGAAACACCGGATCACCTTAGCTTTCACCTTTATTCAAGACATCTTCAGAGGCAACTTCAGTTGCCCTTTTCCCGTGTGGTTTTATCAAAATTTATCTTGTTCATGTTTCCATTGTGGATCTACATGAAATATAAGTCATTTGCAAGGGAAACGTCATTGAAAAAAAGTCTCTTAGAATGTTCTAAACTTGCAACCATAAAATTGTCAAAATTCTTTGGGTGGCAACAAGTGAAATAATGCTCCCATACCAATCATGATGTCCGGAGGGCAGCTAGAAATACGGCATTGAATTAGGATAGAGTTTTAAGGTTCAGTAATGCCCTCAAGCCAATTAACCATTCGTCTTCTATGGAAAACTTTCCTTAAATTGCCGATTAACAATAACATTTCATACTTTCTCCCACTATTACTCTAAATTCTGGGAACATTCTAGGGCCAGAGGCCTGAAAGCGGTCAACATATAGTAGAGGACACCACTCAATATTGTTATTTTTGTTTCTAATGGTAAGTTCAGACAAAACAATTTTTAACTTTGTCATCTTGGCACATTTTACCCATAACAAAGATATTGGGAGTTTGAAACTCAGAAAACTTCTAGAAAAGTTGGTAATTTATGAGGAAACTCTTACCACCACAAGGAATTATTCCATTTCATTCATCTTTTCCACATGTGTTCTTATCATTACAGTAAGCATTTTAAAAGAGGCAACTTGTTATTTTAATTATAAGTTGTTTTTAGTTTCTCTATAATCATAAATACTTGTAGTGGGCAGGGCATGAAGGACAGGGGAATTTTTGGAATAAACACGGTGAAAACTGATCACATGACACTAAAAATTATGCCTCTACGTCCTTTGTATGTCAAGAAAATAATTATTTACCATTAATACTTCTCAGAAAAATCTGCAGTCACTGCATCATCTGTTTGTTTACAACCAACCTACTCAGTCCAAATGTACTCTCACGTCACAAAAACATAAATTACACCATGATGCTGCAACAAAGTTGTTTTCATTGGTACCAGATATAATAGGGTCAATTTATGATACTGTAGTCGCCAGGTTTCGATTTTTCCATAAAAAATGTATTTTGCCTTTGGTTCTTGTTGTGATTCCATGAATCTGACCTTCGTTTCTGGTGCTAACCGCCTGTTTTCAAGTTAAGCCCCCCTCCCCTGTGACAGGGACGAGGGAAGGAGCTGAGCTAACCTAACCTAACCATAAAAACCTTTTATGACTCAATATATAAGTACTGTAAGTGAGGTTAGGGTCATCTCATACCTGACAACTCATACCCAAGATAAATTGTACTAAAAAAAGTTAACTTGCCATGCCAAGTCGTACCTAAAATAACTTGTAACCAAGATTTCTTGCACCCAATTCAAGATAATCCATACCTACTAGTATACATATCATGCATAGGTAGTTGCTGTCACAGCATTATTATAGCTTAATACCAACTATTCAGGGCCAGATTATGGGAGGGTGTCCAGTCCCCCTCAGACAAGCCCCCCTCCTCCCCAAATTAAATAAAAATTGAATTGAATTTAACACAGTTTGGAGTTATATAAAATTTTAGCTTCATCTATGATTCCAAAAAAATTAAGTAAATCTTGTCAGAAAGTGCAGTGATATAGTGAAATGCAATGCAGCACTTTAAAATGATTTGCATATCATTACATAAGTATCTTATTTTGTCACACAAACATTGGACTTCAAGTACATATTTCACACTGAGCTTTACAATAACTTTATTGCAATTTATAGATTTCAGGCTAATAAATTTGGCAGTTTCAATTTATAAACTGGGCGATGTAAATGTTTATAATAGTCATAAGTCAACAAAATATAGACATGGAGGAGTCTAGACATGCATAAAAACAGATTTATTTTCCAGCTCCAGCTTTTTGTAAACAAATCAGTTAGTATTAAAACCAAACTGGTGATTGTGATGCTCGTGTGAATTATGCAAATCTGAGATTGTGAGATTTTCAATGTTGACCTTAAATCAGAGTTGACTTTTGATGAGTGATTGTGAATTAAAAATTTGATTTTGATTTATTGCAACTCATATTCAACAAATGGTAACATGACCTTTACAGGAATTTGTGATTGTTTTGAGATTTGGAGATTTACACTACGTGCTTCCATAGTTTTGTATTTCCCCTATTGCATTGTGCCTCTGTGTGGTTTTCTCTCACACATTTGCATCTAAAGTTGTTAAATAGTGATTTTAGAATACAGTAATACCCACTTTGATTTTTTACGGAATTTCCACTTCTAGCGGTTGCATCTACTCACATCTGGCAGGCGGTAGCGAGCAGAGTGCACAAGGTAGTGATCATCAAACATTACCGAGTTCTTCACCCACCACAGCGGCCCAAGTCAGTGATAGTGAGGATATGGACTTTGAGGGTTTGGCAAGGCCCTGCAAGCCTCTGTGGTGGATAGTGATACAATTGATACAATTGATCAGGTGAGGCCAATAATCTGCCCGCTGCCTCGGAACCAACCCCCATCCCTTGTGCCCAGCCATCTTTTCTACTAATGTAAGTGTTAAAAAACTTAATGTTATTGATATCTCTCTTAACTATTAATTGTGTGTGCATACCATCATAAAATTAAGAGTTATTTTTACTAGCGTGAGTATTGTGTCTGAAAAAGTGGAGTTTGGGGTTCGGCCCAGTCTCTATTTCAATTAATCCCATATGTTCTGTTGTTCACTTCTGGCGGGCCTCTGTGGGTTCAATTGATCGCGTAAGGAGGTTACACTGTGTATATTTGATACTTGATGCAATGGAGATAATCTTTTTGGCGGACACTAAAAAGAATTGTTTTTCAAGTACCGGGGGACCCAGGATGCGAACCCCTGATTAGGTTTAGTAATTTTTGGTCATTTGCGAGGAAACTGTCATAGAAGAATAGTGTCTTAATAAACCATCGGAATAGCAAATTGCTTAACTCTACAGCCATAATGGTTGAAAATGACTTACACACATTTTTAAATTCACATAAAGTTTCCTTACTTTCCCAGGTAAAGGTGTAGTTTAGGGCTAACACTAGAAGGAGTTTGCTGATTTTCTTTATTTTTGCTATACAGTACAGTGGTCCCTTGGTTAAGGAACACAATCCGTTCCAGCAGGTTGTTCAGTAACCGAAAAATTCGTGAACCGAAACCATTGTTTCAATGGGTTTTTGGTAATTGGTTCCAGCTCACCGAAAATTGCAATTAACAAAAATGGTAGAAAAGTTCACTTACTTTGAGGTGTGTATGTAGAAGGCTCCTGGATGATGATGATGATGATGGGAATTAGAATGGGGGTGGAGGAGAAGGAAGAAGAAAGGCATTGGGGTGGAAGAGAAGTCATCCCATGGCATTTCACCCATAAAATTTTAGTTCTCTTGATGTATTTCAAGATTATTTTCTTTAAATCAACACTGCACTGCATTATATATTGTCAATATGTAAATATATTTCAAAATACCAATAATTTGCTTGAAACACAGAAAAAAAGCGTTTAGTTGAAGAGAGTCTCAAGCAAGATGTTACCTCCAGTGAAAACAGAGAGAGACTAACGCCTGCTTTGCTGTGTTAGAGGCTGGATGCCACGCATTAAACTAGTCACTTTACCTTCAATTATGTTCAATAATTGTTAAAATGACTAAAATTGAATATTAAACTTTTAAAATTATTGAATAGTATAAACTTCTTGATATTTACTAAAATAGTAAGGAATTTAAGCCCTAGAACCGGCCAGTGCAAGCGAAAACATGTTGAGGTCGGTTCGTAAGAAATTCGTTAACCGAATTTAAGAATCTTAAGGGAGGCAGTTCGTTAACCGAAATTTCGTTAACCGAGGGACCACTGTACTTATTGTTTTGATGATTTAAGTATATTAAAAGAACGACAACTTTTTATTAGGATATAGGGGTAGTCATCGATGATAAGCTGACGTTTTCTGACCATCTAGCTGAGAAAATCAACAAGGCTAATAAAATAGTGGGCATTATTAGAAGAACTTTTGTTCATCTGGATGCACCTATATTCAAGGCTCTGTACACTGCTCTGGTTAGGCCACACCTTGAGTATGCTAATCAAATTTGGTGCCCATATCTCATTAAGGATATTTAAGCAGTAGAGAATGTACAGAGGAGGCTACAAATAAGTACAGATCAAGGATTTATCTTATGAGGAAAGACTAAGGAAATTACAGTTACGCACACTGGCATACAGAAGATCTCGTGGGGACCAAGTGGAAACATACAAGATAGTGTGTGGCATATATGACCAGGCATGTACAGCAGGAATGTTCCAGATGAGGAGCTGACACTACCTGGGGAACACAAAGATCTACAAAACAAGAGCAAGGCTAAATCTCAGGAAACATTCATTCACGAGTAGGGTTGTCAACAACTGGAATGGGTTACCTGAGTGGGTAGTGAATGTGGAGATGGTGGAAAAGTTTGAAGCAAAATTAGATAAATACTGGAAAAATCAACAAGTATATAATTATAGGGCACAAATATCCGCCACACACAGCCACCGTCTGAGTAGAGAAAGAGCTACTGAGCTGGAGTCACAGGCGTGAACCTCTTCCAGAAGATCATCTGTGAGTATCTGTGAGTGAGTATAATTTTAAGTATTTTAAAGTTTTTTATTTGCTCTATCCTGCTTCACATTTCTCCTGCAGCACTATATTTGTGGTTTACCTCGCTGAATCCCTCTTCAAGAGACGTTTCCTATAAATGATGGTGAAAGCTTCACAATTCCTCCTCGCCTTTGCTGATGAATATCAACCTCAATATTAAGGTAAGTTGTTTATCACATAAATTAACATGATAATGCATAGAACCTAATAGCGCCTGACCTTAACACATAAATTAACACGGTAATACATATAACTTAATAAAACCTGACCTAACATACCCAACCAATGGGTATGTTAGGTCAATTCTGTGTATTGTCTTTTCCATTTATATGCTTATTAGCATGCTATTGGTGTATAGCAAAAAACTTCAACCATTTCTACAAACTCCTTCTGGTGTTAGCCCTAAACTACACCTTTACCCTTTCCCATAATAATTACATTATCTAGATGGTAGCAAAGAGTTGTCATTGAAGACATATAAACCATAATAAATTACATTTATCGGCAGCTGTTATCTTACACTTTTACTCCTGCAACACACACCTGTTGTAGTGGCAGAGCCTTGTGTTGGACACTACACGTGACAATACCTTGGTCGAGAGCAACAACAAACACCTTCAACTTTATTTACACCGCCGGACTCATTCAATGGTTCCCTTGTCTCCTCGTTGTGTAGTACAGTCATTTATTGTCATCAACAGAAACTAATCGTTACCAGCAGCTACCCTATAATATTACTCCTTTATTATTTATCGTCATATCCCTTTGATTTTACTCTTTCATTATTTATCGTCACTTCCCTGTAGTTTGCTCTTTCCTGTTCATTTTTATTTTAGTTTATTTATTGTATGGAATTTTCGTTGTAGCTGGTCTAAAGGCTATAAATAAAATTATATGCAATGGTAGGAGGGGTGTTGATGGCATATGTGAATTACTCGAAAATGCTTGGGAACTTCTCTGTTACACACTGTTGGCAAGTACTGGGCATGCACTGGCTCCAGCGTCCAGCCTCCAGTGCTTGTCAAGTCTGGTTCAAGAATTCACGCTCGGTGCCGTCACAGCACTCTCTGGCAGATTGTTCCAAGAGTTCACAACTCTCACTCTCAAAAAGTTACCCTTTTCAGTTTTTTAGACTTGCGGCTTCTGTATTATAAGCCAGGCAGTTGCAGGCGCTCAAAGCTCATTGGATAGTTGTGGGAACTGAAGTGCAGGCACCAGTCTGGTGGCCCCCCTTTTGGACATTTTCAATCAATTGACAATCTCTAGCATATCTCGCGGACCAGACCGGATGACAGTACTCCAGGCAGGGAAGCACCCCACTGTTAAAGATCGAACTTCTTATAAGACCTAATAATTTATTTGCTTGATTCACCTTCTTCTCACAATGGCCCGAGAACTTCAGTTCATTGTCCCCAGGATATGCTAGGGAGTGGCTGAGTAGGGACTGTCAGTTGGTTAAAAATGTTCAAAGGAGAGTGTAGTGGATACTCTCCCCTACAACTGCCAACTGCCGTTTTGTTGCTGACCAGCTGAACCCGCGGGCCGCGGCGAGTTTCTTACCTCAAGCCTAGCTTTCGAACTGCGCGGTTGTGGGGTTTCGTGATGTAGTATCACACTCAGGATGGGTTGGAGAAAGGAAACTCACAATGCGTTCTCTGCACATATATTGTATTGAATGGCTCACCGATAGAACGCAGAGGGTCAGCGTAGATGGTGTTAAATCTGAGTGGGGCCGTGTAACCAGTGGGGTTCTCCAGGGGTCAGTACTAGGCCCACTCTTGTTCATAATCTACATAAACGATCTAGATACTGGGATTAGCAGTGACATAAGCAAGTTTGCGGATGACACCAAAATAGGGCGGCAGATTAATTCAGGGCAGGATGCAAATGCATTACAGGAGGATTTGAATAAACTGCAGGAGTGGTCAGAAAAATGGCAAATGAAATTCAACACCAGCAATTGTAGCATACTTAATATTGGAAGAACAAATACTGTCAATGTATACAGCCTCAACAACATCAACCTAGAGAAGTCGACTTGTGAAAACAGTGCGTTAATGTTCGAAATAAGGCAAACAGAGTATTAGGTTTTATATCTAGAAGTGTAAGTAATAAGAGTGCAGAGGTCTTATTGCAACTATATCTTGCGCTAGTCAGGCCGCACCTCGATTATGCGGTTCAGTTCTGGTGCCCTTATTATAGAATGGACATCAATTCACTAGAGTCGGTGCAGCGAAGAATGACGAAAATGATTCCAGGACTTAGAACCTTCCATATCAAGATAGGTTAAAGAAACTAAACTTGCATTCCCTAGAAAGAAGAAGAGTGCGGGGAGATATGATAGAAGTATTTAAGTGGGTGAAATGAATCAATAAAGGGGATATAGATAAAGTTCTTATAATATCCGAGTAGGATAGGACTCGGAGCAACGGATTTAAGTGGATAAGTTTAGGTTTAGGAGGGAGATAGGAAGAAACTGGTTCACAAATAGGGTGGTGGACGAGTGGAACAAGCTTAACAACTTTGTAGTAAGTGCTGGAACGCTGGAAAGTTTCAAAAGGAGGCTAGATAGATTCATGGATGATAGAGAGTGGTAGTAACTCTCGACAGGAGCTGCCATGCACGGGCCAACCGGCCTATTGCAGACTCCTTATTTTCTTATGTACAGGGCAGCTTGGTGCTGGGAAGCTACTGCATGGTTAGAAGCGTGGAGTAGAGAGCTGGTTGGTGAGGAGCTTGCTCGGAGGTGTTGCGTGTTGCTGGCTCAGGTAGGAGAAGAAGGAAGTTCACGGCGAGGTAAGGGCTTGTATAGCGGAGGTAGGCGTGGCTTGATAGCCGACCTCGCTTGCTTTGTTAGACGTCGCTAGTAACCGACCTTAGACCCGAAAAGGGATCGGCTAGTCAGTAGACAAGCGGCAGTAGGTTGACCCGGACCACGAGGCACACACTGTGGAATTCGCGGGGTCGGCTACTCAGCGACAAACAGCGTTTGTAGGGGAGAAATCCACTACAGGGTCACAGCTCAAGGCTGAAGAAGGCACAAATCCAGGAAACTGAGGGCAAACTTTTCGGAGTGAGAATTGTGAATTCTTCGAACAATCTGCCAGAGAGCATTGTGACGGCACCTAGTGTGAGTTCATACTTCCAACAGTGGAGCAGTTTTCGATATATTCAGGAGCCAGTGCATGCCCAGCATTTGCCAACAGTGCGTAAGAGAGACTTGACCGACCGCCCAGGCGAAGAGGATAAAAATAGAAGTAAAGTCAACTTCGATGGTCATTAGAGCCATGGTGTTGTTCTCTTGATGTCTTCCTTTTGTTTCTTCTTAACTGCCCATTTTCCTTCTTCCGATTCGTAGAGGTTGATAAATTCTGAGAGAGAGACCGCAGATATATACACTTATTACTGTAGTTATGTATATGTTCTTTTAATTGCTAAAAATGGAGAATTTTAAACGTTAATTGCATAAAAGGTATAATATATTTTATTATACTGTACCCGCGAGCCTATCAGTATTTACTTCATCACGTACAGTACACTCATCCCTGGGTGAGTGAGTGTGGCATAAGTGGTGTGGGATTTATTCCTCCACGGTGATTTTTTTCTGTATAATATTATATCTTATCATTTATATTTTTATAATTTAATCAGGTTGGCAAGATAAGAAGGATATAAGACTTTGTTAAAGGTAAATAGTGAACAAGAACAGTCGCTGATTCTTGGTGTCATATATGGTTTGGCCTTTATGCCACCAACAATTTTTCTGCAGTTATATATTTTTTGGTATTTTATATTATGTATTAAGATTTGACCAGATGGAGAAGAAAAGAAGATATTATTTTGATCAGCTTAACCAAGAACAGCCCTTATGTCATAAATGGTGTTGGCCTACCTCTGAAGTTATTATTTTTTTACACTAAGTTTTGTTAATCATCCATGCACTAAATTTTGGGTGAAGATGGAGAAATGGTTATCACCTGAAGAAACTGGGTAATTATTGACGACTGACCCACCACCGATTTTTCTTAGAAAACAAATTTAAAAACTGCAATTTTGTGTTTTATAGTGGACACTGTTGCAGTTTTAGAAATTATGTTAAAAAGTGGTTATTTCTCATAGTGGACACTGTTGTAGGTTTAACTATTATGTTAAAAAGTGGTTATTTCTCATAGTGGACACTGTTGCAGTTTTAGCAATTATGTTAAAAAGTGGTTATTTCTAAATTAAACCTAACCCTAGTGATAAAAAAAAAGCAGCAGAGGACCTCAGCAACCTAACCAAAGAAACCTAACCTTACCTAACTTTTTAGATGTGAGGCTCCATCCTTCTGACTCCCCAGCATATTAAATAGAAAGAAATTATTATGATGTGGTGTAATTTTACATTTTTTGTGGATGTGAGAGCAGCTACCCTTGATGAAAACATAGTAAGAATATAAACATCAAAACAAATAATGTGTCAGCAGGTTAGTCGTCAATATTAGCAAAAAACAGTAATCCTGGAGGAGGTAGCTGACACCAGAAGGCATTACTCAATTCCATTATTTTTTCCACAGATCTTATTATTATAGTAAGTATTTGGGTAAAGATTCGTTTTAGGTCGAACATGGAATTTCATATTTCCATTTATATAGGGATGAAGAGCAAAGAATAATAATAAAAATACTTTATGCTGTTTCCATTGCAAATAAATATTTTTTGATTATTTTAACCGATATGACGCCCCCCCAATTACCAATAACATTGGTTGTTCAAAGTGGGCAGGGCTTTGAAGTGGAGGGAAAATGTGGGGTAAAATATTAAAACAAATACAAAAGAAACCTTCAAAACCCTTACCTAACCTTTCATAACCTATAAAAAGGTTAAACATCACTTTTGAGTTTGTGGGTCCTCCTCCTTATCTGAACACCAAAAACTACACCATCACATACTAAATACTGAAAACACAATTAAGGTAAAAGTGTTTTATAGTTTTAGGATTTTTTTTAGGTTAGATAAGGTTAGGTAATGTTTTCAAAGGTTTGTTTGGTGTTCTTTTACCCCACAGTTTCCCTCTACTTCAATGCCCTGCCCACTTTGAACAATCAATATTGTTTTTCTTCAGGTTTATAGCCATTTCTTCAAATAGTTACTGTTTTTTGTGTGTTTCACTGACTACAATATTTTCTGTTTTCCAGTTTTGACACATCTTTGTTCAAGATGACCGTCGGTAAGTATTATGTGATTCACAATACTAAAAGCATTTTGTAATTAACTTGATAAACTATTTTAAAACTGATTATCATACTTAAGAATAATAGAGCACACACATTGTATGTTTTGTTTCGTTCTCAACTTAACCATAAAAAGAAATAATTTACGTTCTCTAGCTTATACTATACAGCCCATTATTACTTTTAGAAAATTGTAGCCCACTGCATTTTCTCTTGTAAGCCATACTTATCGTCCATCTCTCATTATCTCAATATACGTTAATACTAATTGGGTAGACTCTGATCTACTCTCTACACAGCCCTTGTTTCATCTGCCCATTACCTTTCTGTTTTTCCTGTTCTCCAAACCCTATGTGCTTTATAAATCGCTCTCAAGCGTGTCATATCTAGTACTGTACAGTTTTAATTTGCTCCTTCCTATTTCACCCATATAAAGATGTCAGATGAACACTACCCTTATAAATTCCCATCTTTGGCTCCATGCATTACTGTCCACTTTTTACTTTCCCTTCATCCACTTCTCTGATATTCAGTAATTCATCACTCATAGTTCCATTTGCAGGCACATCCACTTCTAGATATCTTAAACACCCCAATTCCTCCATTCAATTTATAATTTATTCATTTACTTTATTATTACTTTTTCAAGCCTTTTCCCATTATAAAGCAGTTGGAGGCAATCAGGAGCAGATACACATATGCACACATAGAGTCTACATTCATGCCTTGTAAATGTTCATTCTCATTGCTGTAAAGGTGCATTCCTCAAGGCTGCAGTTTCTTATATATTATTGTTATATTGCAGCATTAACCCCCAAATTGGTGGAGCAGTATCGGGAGCAGGTAGAGAGCGAGTCAAACTCCCTGCTGGCTATGAATGCCTGCTTTAAGACAGATCCATTAGAGATGTGTGTACGCCGTAGTAAAGTTATTGCAACTAATCACATATTTACCCATAAGGTCAGTCCATATTTATTATTTTGGTGAATTTTACAAGCTGTGTTATAACTGAGTGTAAAGACTTATGGTATATACATATATATATATATACCAATGAACACTGATGTGTTCATTGTTATTTTCCAACATGTCTTAAGCTTCACCTGTTTATTAAAAGATATAAGAAAATATTGAGACTTATTGAAGTTTGTCATGAATCTAAGTATTTTGTTATTGGTTACACTTTTTTACAAATATTTTACTTACCAGGTTGAGAGTGAGGGACGACCTATTACTAATCAGAAATCCTCTGGCCGTTGTTGGATCTTTGCCTGCCTGAATGTGATGCGACTTCCTTTTGTCAAACAGTTCAACTTGGAAGAATTTGAATTCTCACAATCACATCTCTTCTTTTGGGATAAGGTAATATTAAAGAGTAGCTTTTTTTGAAAATCAATAAATTGGTGGCATTATATGCTGTATACAGTCAACCCTCACTTTACGCGGTTAATGTAACCCACAGGGTACCGCGGAAAGTGAGAAACGCATAAAGTGAATAACATAACATATGGGATTAAATGAAATAGAGACCAGCTGACCCCCAAACTCCACTTTTTCCGACACAATACCTATGCTCTAGTAAAAATAACATCTTAATTTTATGATGGTACATGCACACAATTAATACTTAAGAGAAATAGAGAAATACAGTCGCCAAGTTAATGTCCATTCAAATAATGGACTCACTCCCTCCCCCTCTTCTCACAGTCCACTCGCTGGCTCTTCCCTCTGAGAAATTTTGGGGGGAAAACCAGGTATAGTAATAAATAATTCCTCAAACTAAAGTTAGGATGATATAATTGACATTGCTGGATTCCTTGTAAGACCAGGAATATTTTGAATATAAATGTCATATATTTTGCACAAAAGATAACATATTTACTCAGAGTAAACATTATATCTAAAATTTGTATGTCTAATGCAAAATCTATGATGTTTATATTCAAAATGATCATCTAATTGTAAGAATTCCAGCAATGTAAATTATATTCTGGCTGGATAATTTGTATGAATTTTATGAGCTAAATAAAAAAAATATACTTCACCCGTGTAAAGGGGTGCGGAATTTGAGCATCCTGGGTTCTGGCAGGGCACCGCGTAAACGTGGAAACGCGGAATGTGGGACCGCGTAAAGTGAGGGTTGTCTGTATATAATTATTATTTATGTTTATAGTTATATAATAATTTTAGTTAGAGAGGGGGAAGAGTGCCTCAAGATTTTAAAGAGAACAAGAAACAGTTTAAGAGGGAAATTTCTAGGCAGAGATAACCAAGAGGACAAATGAAAAGAGCATATAACACTGATGGGATGTACAGTATTCACTCAGTTATCTGTGAATGAAAGGCAGTTTATGGTCATGGCTATCACCGCTTACTCAACTGGTAGGTGGGCTACTGGCCTTCCACCACACAGTTTGTCGCTTGTCCAGGAAGAAGAAGGTAACATAAGAATGGAGGAAACTGCAGCGGGCCTATTGGCCCGTACTGGGCAGTCCCATTTACACCCAACCCCTATTGCTCACATATCCATCCAACCTATGTTTGAAGCTATCCAGCATATTCCAGTTAATGATGATGTTTGGTAACTGGTTCCACTCATCCACTACTCTATTTCCAAACCAATGTATACCTATCTCGTGCCTAAATCTAAATTTGTCTTAATTTAAAAACATTGTTACGAGTTTGCTCCTGGTTGGGTAGTTTGAGTACCTTTGTAATGCCACCTTTGTTTAGCCCTGACTTCCATTTATACACTTCGATCACATCGCCCCTCACTCTACGTCTCTCAAGGAAGTGCAAATTAAGATGCTTTAACCTGTCTCTGTACTCAAGGTTCTTAATGTCTGGGATTAGTCTTGCCATTCTTCTCTGAATTCTTTCAAGGGATTGTATATCCATTCTGTAGTACGGTGACCAGAATTGAACTGCATAATCTAAGTGAGGTCTCACAAGCGCAAGATATAGTTTTAAGATGACCTCGCTAGTCTTGTAACTAACACACCTTTGTATGAACCCAAGTACTTTGTTAGCCTTGTTTCGAGCAAATACACATTGTTTACTTGGCTTAAGATTCCTACTTATCATTACCCCTAAATCTTTTTCACAGTCGGATTTCTCTATAACATCGTTGTTCATCTGATATCTGGTTTCTCTGTTTACATCTCCTAGACTTAAGTACTTTACATTTGTCCACATTGAATTTCATCTGCCATTTTTCAGACCATTCAAAAATTTTTAGATCTTCCTGTAGTTTTGCGGAGTCCTCGTCAGATTTAATTAATCGCCCTATTTTAGTGTCATCAGCAAATTTACTTATGTTGCTGTCTACTCTGATACCTATGTCGTTTATGTATATATTAGGCTCGGAAACCGAAAAGCAAGCTTTTCGGTTTCTGAGCCAAACATATATAATAAATAATAATGGTCCAAGTACGGAGCCTTAGGGTACTCCACTAGTGATGTTACTTCAATCGGATTTACTGCCGTTAATTCTCACTCGCTGTTTCCTGTCACCACACCCTAATCCATTTTAGAATATCTCCTCCAATGCCATGAGCCTCCACCTTTCTTATTAGTCTTTCGTTGGGGACTCTTTCGAAGGCTTTGCTAAAGCCGAGATACAGTATATCACACCATAGTCGTGCCCGTCGTTCACTGATTCAAAAACAGCTGAAAAGAATGAATGCCCGCTTGTGAGAAGTGTACATGAATACAGTACTGTACTTCTCATTAACTGGATGATTTTATGTTGTCTTTACTGATGGCTATTCCATAAATTACACTTCTGTTTCTTTGAAATTATTAAACAACTCAATAATGTTTCTCAAAAGAGTGGCAGCTAACAAATGCATGTGTACATAGTGCCAAATCCCTGCACTGATGGTAACAGTTAAGGAATCATTGTTAGTACAATTCACTGTAAAGTAAACCACATATAACAATGTGTATACAGTACTGCATTGCAATAAAAATATGTAAAAAGGAGTTGAAGAGAATAATTTGAATGACTCCTAAATGTAACAAATTGAGAGAGAGGTAAAATTATCTGGTTTAAGACAATGTGTATTAAATAATGTCAAAGTATAATGAAGACGTTAATAAGGGAGGAGTAGTAGTAATGGTCATCCATGGCCATCTTGCTATAAGCAGGAAAAGTCTTGAAAAAACAAAAAACAAAGGTTTTATTGTATTTTGTGATATATAATTAAAGTTAGAAGTTTCCCTTTGATACTGATTTAATTTTGTATGAGCAGATAGAGAGATGCAACTACTTCCTGAACAAGATGGTTGACTGTGCTAAACGAGGAGAGGAGGTTGAGGGTCGACTTGTGTCCTTTCTTCTTCATGACCCAACGTCTGATGGAGGTCAATGGGATATGATTGTTAACCTTATCACTAGGTGAGGAATAGTAATTTTCTGAGTGTATATATATATATATATATATATATATATATATATATATATATATATATATATATATATATATATATATATATATATATATATATATATATATATATATATATATATATATATATATCAAAATACCGGACAATTTGGGGGAAAGATGGTCCGGACTTGCCAATTGTCTGGACTTTTACCAAGTTTTTAGTGGGGGTTCAGGGGGCCACTGTGCAACTAAACAGCCACTCATTAGCCCCACCCACCAATGACTCTTAAATTTTTATTTTAATGTGCAACATGTGTCATGTGTTTTCCTGGTTAAATTTTTCCTTTATTCTTAAGTCAAATTACGAATTATATATTGTATTTTTTTATACTATAAGTTATATTTATGATGGAATACACCATAAGAGGCTGATCATACTAGAATATAATGTTGAATAAATAAAAACAAACTGGCAAACAAGGCAAGGCCAGTCTCCCCCAGCATATTTATACATACAAGTGTTATCTCGTACCTATTATCACTTGTTAGGCCTATATCAAATCTGATTAGACCACTGTACAGTATCCCCATTAAAGACAATACACAGTATACAGTATATTTTAATAATAAATAGGATAATACTGCTCGGCTCCTCCCTGACGTACGACCTACTCGACTTACGACCTGGCTCAGTCGTACCAAAATTTTTTCAAATTACGTATTTTCGAGTCAACGTCACTACACAGACAAAATTTTCGTTTGTAATTCACTTTAAAATGGCTGGCAAGCTTAAAAGTGAGAGTTTTGTGGTGCTGAGAATAAAAAGAGACACCCATTTAGATTTTCTATTTGTTATTTAAGCATTTTCGACTTACGACCTGGATTTGGGTCCCTAACCCCGTCGTAAGTCGGGGAGGAGCTGTGTATACTAAAAAAAATTATTTACTCAACGAATTCATTGAACTAACTGTCACCAAAATGTAATAATAAAAACAAACATTCCTCCAAAATCAGCTACGGTAGTATCGTAAGTTTGAATACTGCGTGTAATGGAGATGAGCTGCCATATTTAATGCTGTGATAAAAAATACAATACTGTAACACATTTTATGTACAAAACATAGCTCCTCTGGGTGATGCCACACAGTTCATCCAGTCAGTCACCCAACTGACTCACAGACATGTGGTTGCCGCGCTGGCTGTGTGTTTGCTGTGACGTCACTTCGGGGGGGGGGAGTGTGGCCACGCAGTTATACCCCAGTAACCAACCCACCGCCTCCACACACATTCACTTCCCACATATACACACACACCTATGCTCTTCATTTTTCTTATTTTATAGTTTATTATATTTTCTTTATTTCTAAGCCACATTATAGTATGGTACTGATTTTTCCACAACATTTATAGTTTCTTTACAAGTAACAATATACTACTGTATACTAGGCGGTTGGGTTGGTGAGTCGTAAACGTAGCTATAGCCAAGGCATTGTTATAGCTCACCACCTCCACACACGTTCAGTTCCGATATATACACACACACCTATACTCTTTATTGTTCTTATTTTATAGTTTGGTATTCTATTTTCTCTATTTATAAGCCACATCATTTATATAAAATGGAGTAAGTGTTAAAGAAATCTATTTTTCTGAGACATGAATTTGTGAGGTCAGCCTGTAGCACTGTGCATTAATGTTATCTCCTGTTAATATTTTAAGATATGGTGTGATGCCCAAAAAGTGCTTCCCAGAATCCTTTAGTGCTGAAAATTCTATGAGGATGAATAGAATCCTACAGAGTAAGGTACTGTACTGTATACTGTATATGAAATAGTTCGCTGTTAATACTGTCAAATTTTATCACTGAAACTAATTATTCATATTAAATTTCATAGTATATGTTATCACCTGTACAGTAGTGAATACACCCAGTCCTCGCCAAACGTTGTCTCAGACAATGTTGTTTTGTTATAACGTTGCTACTCTTTAGATACCCATGATTCCGACAACGTTGTTTTACGGTCCGACCGATTCGTTATAACGTTGTCACCCAACACGGACTACAGTACTTTATATGGTGCACTACCCTCTCTTATCTTGGCACGCTACGCTCTCGTGAAGCGTCACAGCGTCCCCAAACATTTTCTCCCCAGTCTTTGTTAAGCTTCCACAGCGTACGTGCGTGCTGAAGTGTTTTTGTTATAAATACTGTACTGGAACCATTCGAAATGGCTCCCAAATGAAAATGGAGGTTTTAAACCGTTTTGAGAAAGGTGAACCTGCTGTGGACATTGGTGTAGCGTTAGGCCTAAACCCCACGTACTATCCAGACCAGCACAGACATGATTAAGGCTAGTGCTGGAAGTAGTACTATTCTGAGTGCAACAAAGACAAGTCATGTTCGAAGTACCATGATTGAGAAGATGCTGGCTATGTGGATGGAGGACCAGAATCGATTCAATGCCCCTGTGAGCCTTATGGTTATCAGCACAGAGCAAAATCCTTGTATGGGGAAAATTGATTCCATTAACGTTGTGTTTTACAAGAACGTGACCATGACGTTAAGCGAGGACTGGGTGTACGTACTGTAATTGCATTAAAAAAATTTATACAATTTATCACCAATATAATATTTGTATTTGAACTCTAGGTAAATTTTATTACCTATTCTGAATACTAATGTTAAAATTCTACTTATAATTTGTCACCTTTACTATTATTTTTTTTACTAAAATTCTAGGTAAATTTTATCACTTATTCTGGATATTCACATTAACATTTAAATAAATTTTATCACCTGATCTAAATATATTAAAATCATAGTTAAAATTTATCAACTTTACAGATGAATCCCATTGAAAATTTAGGTTTAACTTGTCACAGTAGAATTTTGAAATATTTTAAACATAGATTGTGACACGCTGTGTTTCAAAGACTGCCATGTTTTTTGTATTTTTTTTAGTTGCGAGAATATACACGAGAATTACGGACAGTCATCAACAAAGGTGGTGATGATGCTACGATTACCGAGACTCTCGTCCGCCAGATGAGTGAAATATACCGTATTGTGTCCATCTGCCTTGGCATTCCTCCTCAAACCTTCACCTGGGAATATTATGACAAGTCTAAGGCATACCATAAGATTGGACCCCTCACCCCACTAGAATTTTACACTGTTTATGTCAAACCAGTGTATAATGTTGAAGACAAGGTATAGTAAATTTGACACTTTTTATCAAATGTTATTTCTATTTAGCCTCTTAATTGAGTGCCTGATACACAGCCTGAAAAATCACATTGATTTTTGTATGATTTTCATTGTTATTCTTTGTTGTCTTTGCATTTGAATGGTTGGTTCAGTAACACCCGCTCACCCCATTAATTTCAGGTTTCCTCTGTACCCCTGCAACTTACTGTGCTGTGGGCTCCGGGTTGTTTGGGTTCACACTCAGGATGGGATGGAGAAAGGAACTCACAATGTGCTCTCTGTATACATGTTGTATTGGATGTACAATGCAGCTTGGTGGTGGGAAGGCAGCATGGTTACAAGCGTTGAGTAGAGAGAGCTGGTTGGTGAGGGTGCTCAGAGGAGGACAAGCTTGTGGGTCGCCGGCGGGAGCGAGGGCCGTCAGGCAGGAGGAGGAGGTGGTGTTGCTTGCTGCGGCTGTAGCTAGAAGAAGAGGCAGGTCACCACGAGGTCAGGTCCTATATAGCGGAGGTAGGCGTGGCTTAATAGTTGACCTCCGTCATGTAACGCGGCGCTGGTTGACCTAGACCACGAGGCATACACTGGGGAATTTGCGGGGTCGGCTACTCAGCGACAAAAGCGTTTGTAGGGGAGGGATCCACTACAATACTCCCTCCTTCCCTCCAGGCGGTGTAGGAGACTTCTTGTCTGCAGGGTTGCATGGCACATGTGAGGCAGAATGGGCGGTGCATGCCACATATGAGCCATAACGGCGAGGGCGTGGATGAGCCGGCCGCTAGAGGAGATAACTGTCTAGATACACAATATCTGTGTGAGTAGAGAGGGAGAAAAAGGGTGTGTGGAGGCGATGAATGTTGTGCTTCCCTCACGGCAGGTACAGAGTCGTCGGATGCGCCTGCTGGGGTGTGTGGGCCTGGGTCAGGAGCAGGGGCTGCGTCAGCAGAAGCGGATGAGGGCTCGTGACAGCAGCTGGGTCCACGACAGCAGCAGGGTGCAGGACAGTAGCAGAGGGGTACCCAAGGGAGAAAAGAGGGGTGTGTGGGTCCGCATCAGGAGGAGCGGCAGGGGGTACTGCTGGGCCGGGGCGGCATCTGAGGCAGGACTGGTGTGTTGGGGTCGGTAGGACGTGGTGCTTTGGGCAGGAAGAGGAGTGGCTGTCTGCTTAGAGTCGCAGAGCTGCTCTAGGGTGTCTAACCTGTGGTGTAGAGGCAGTAGTTGTAGAGCCGATGAGAGCTGCTTCTGTGTGGATAAGCCAGTCTTCCATGTTGCTTGAAGACTGGGAGCGTGATCAGTTTCTCCTCCATCCTGTGTGAGTGCGAATCTCCGGGGTCACCATTTATGGGATGAGAGATGTTGGTTCACACTCAGGATGGGATGGAGAAAGGAAACTCACAATGTGCTCTCTGTATACATGTTGTATTAGATATACAATGCAGCTTGGTGCTGGGAAGTGGCAGCGTGGTTACAAGCGTGATGTAGAGAGAGCTGGTTGGTGAGGGTGCTTAGAGGAGGACAGCTTGTGGGTCGCCATGCTCGCCGGCGGGAGCGAAGGCCGCCAGGCAGCGGCGGAGGAGGTGGTGTAGGTAGAAAGAGAGCGGTCACCACGAGGTCAGGTCCTATATAGCGGAGGTAGGCGTGGCTTAATAGTTGACCTCCGTCATGTAATGCGGCGCTGGTTGACCTAGACCACGAGGCATACACTGGGGAATTTGCGGGGTCGGCTACTCAGCGACAAAAGCGTTTGTAGGGGAGGGATCCACTACAGTGCTTCGACTAATCCATTTGTTGTGTGAAGGAAGGTTGTTTTGTGAAGTTTGGTGAACAAAAAGTTGGTTGTAATGAAGTTGCAAAAGGTAAGAGAAAAATAAGGTTAATTAAGGGTAAACCTCTGAAAGAAACAAATGTACCAGACCATTAAGTGAACTGCATTGGAAATTGGTAAACAAATAAAGCCCATCAGTAAAATAATATTATTTTGAAAGAAATTTTCTTAATTTTCAAGGAAAACTTATTTATTTTAAATTTTTAACACCCTTTCTTGTTTAACGATGGTCAGTTTAGTGATGTTCGACTCACTGGGAAAAACTCGGGAGGGCAGTCGGAGAAACTTGGGATTCTGTGCTCCAAGTGCCTGCAACAGTAAAAAAACAATAAATATAAAAATTACATAATGTATATCTACCTGAAATTATGAGTTGAACAATAACATAGCTCACACCTCCGCCTCACCTGCTCTGAATGGTACTGGGTGGTGAGTGGGCTACACAATTACATGCCATCTCCAGATATTACCGGGTATTCCTCATTTAGGATATTATTACTCGTTTAGGATATTCCTTGTTATCCGCCGTTTAGCGATAATTTCGCTTATCATTAGGTTTTTCATGAAATGAGGGAGACCTGTATCAATTAACTCAGACAGGTACATTATACTTTTTTGTTGATGTACTTAGTTCTTTATTCTTACTTCAGCTTCAGACCAAGTATTGAGCACAAACTTTATTAACCATCCTCAATATTTTCTTGCACATGCATTGCAGTACTTTTTGTATCGGTAAATATTACACTATATCTTTATATTTTTATATTTTGCAGGTGTGTCTAGTGACAGATCCTAGACCAAACAATGCATATGGACTTGCATACACAGTTGACTGCCTAGGAAACATGGTAGGAGGCCGCCGGACCATTTACAATAATCAGCCTGTAGAAACCTTAATGAATCTCAGTAGTGAAAGCATCAAAAGTGGAGAAGCTGTGTGGTTTGGCTGTGAAGTGGGCAAGAGATTTGCTGGTAAACTAGGCATTCAGGATATTGACATGTAAGTTGCTGTTATCCATTTTAATTTCTTTTTGGATTTGTAGAAAGCTGTCATGCTGTGAGTGAAGGATACATGCAGCTCTCATTAAAATTTATTCCAGTTGTTGTCATGTGTCAGTCTTCCAGTGGGTAAGGACAGAAGCAGGCTACATAAAATTTCAAGGTTTTAACTGAGCTTTCAAAAGCCTCAATACTCTACACTTTTTACTTAGCCAAAACTACAATCAGGGATGCAGAAATATCATGCCTCACTTTGGTGATAGCTTCTCTTCGACAGCATCCTCAAAACACAAGGACTGTAATGATTTCCAATGTGTTTTAGTGTCATTTTTATTCTCTGATTGAATATTTTGTCTTTACCTAAATGGTACAGCAACCAAGTGGATACAGTGATCTAAGAGTTCCTTGGTTCAAGTCTAGGGGACCTCCAGTTCTCTCACCTGTGAATGGGTTCTGGACTGTACAGTGTGTGAAGTGAAAGTAGTCAAGTGCAGTTTTCGCCATGCTACCTCTTTGTTTACCAAAGCCTTGCTATTCAGTGTGCTGTATCTGGACAATGTTAGGCTTATAAGACCCACTTTCAAGGAAGGAGACTTGAAGACAAGCAGTGTGATACTGTACTGTACAAGTAACATGTAAACATTCCAATTTTTAATGCGAGTTAAAATGATTAAACGTACAGTATGTACATTTCTCCAAAAGTGTCATTGTATAGGTCCACTTTTGCATTTTTTTCACTTGGTATATGTTTGTACATAATTATTAATCTAATTGACATTTTGCACTACAGTAAAAACCCAGAGTATCGGACTAATTAAGCACAGCAACATCAATTATCAGATGGAATCCGTTATTTTATTTACTATGAATTTTTAAAATTATTATTACATTTTCGCCCCCAGGTGGGCTAATCCCCGTAAAAAAAATGGACATCCATCAGCAGGGAGGCACAGCAGCCAGGATATTACACTAACACAGACTGGCTTATTTTTAGCTCATAATAAATTAGTTCAAGTAAATAATCATACTATGATATACAGGTACTTTCAGTAAATGCAGTTGTTTTTTATTTAAAGCGTTAATAGATGTATGTAAGGCTCCAAGTTCGACTATATGTATTGACTTTTATCTTATCTTGCCAAGCTGATGGTTACATAGGTGTCATGAAATGAATTGCAGGGAGTCTCCCAGGTCACTTTTTAAAACATGAATCATCCTTGATATACCTGTACAGGTGCTCCTCTACTTAAAAACATTCAACTTACAAACTTTCAGAGATACAAACATCATCACTGAGGGGGTTACCTGCCAGAACAGGTGCTTAATGTGGATGAGACTGGATTATTTTGAAGAAAATTCCAGATAGAACAAACATTACCTAAGAGGAGAAGAGTGAGCCAGGTTTTAAGGCTGTATTAAAGGGTATAGCTCTACTAAATATCCATAATCTTTTCATTTTTTACAATATGTTTGGTATCTACAGGAGTAAAGTTGGACTTACAAACAAGCCTCAGGAATGTAACTCGTTCGTAAGTAGAGGAGCACCTGTATAAGAAAACAGAACATTTCTGTTGAATGTAAAGTACGAACACACTAAACTAATTTGGTGTTTTCTTTTGTTTGTTTCTTTTTTATTTATGTTCCCAAATTTTCAGGAGAGTATACAGTCATTTTGTCCATCCATCCATACATCTGCACAACTTAATTACTGGAAGAATTGAAAGGAATATGAAAATCAATATTTCTTGGCAAGACAATGGTTATGTACTCAATTCAATATCTAATATCAAGGTCATATTCACTGGTAAAAAAAAAAAAAATGAGCAGTTCCTCTTTTCAGAGACCTGTAGTCAATTTCATCAACCTCTTAGTTTGCTAGACAAAAATTTTCTAAGCAAATAGTGCCTTTATATTTTATAAATTTTCTTAAGTGCCTGTTTAATTTTACACTTTTCCCAACAGCCATGACTATAAAGCAGCATTTGGTGTAGAAGTGAACATAGGACTGGAAAAAGCAGACCGTCTCATCTATGGTGAATCCCTCATGACTCATGCAATGATCTTCACTGCAGTCACACTTGATGTGAGTACAGTACTGTGTGTTGCTTTGTGCTACAAAGTATATCATAGCCATCATAATGTACATGGCTGTGTGCTTCTAAATTTTTTTTTATTTTCCAAACATTTTCATTGAAATAATCTTTAATATTGTACAGAAATCGAATTTGTATAGCGTTGCCAATTAAGAGTTTTGTAAGCTTTTATTTACCATTTAAATATGACCAGTCCAATATGAAGTTTTATGGTTGTTATAGAGCTGGATTAATAGCCAGTGTATACAGTTGTCCCTCACAAATGCTGGCTTTTGTCATGCTGAATTTGTGGGTGAACGATTTAATTTTTAACACTGAAATTTACAAATGCCATTGATGATTTACTATACAGTACAGTATTTGGAAGAGATTTACACTGTTATATACCTGGAGATTACAAAAAAATCTTCCCAACTTTAAACATTTATGTAAATCCTAATAAAGTTACAGAGAAAAGCAGGATATAGAGTGAAACCCTTGGTCATCTGGAGGAGGTGTCCAGATTTTTTGAAGTTTAGAAAAGAATGCATTACAAAGGTTAATGAAGCATAATAGATCTACTCAACACAAAATAGTATTAACCTCACCCTGTTGCATAAATTGTTCCATTCTTGCAGTATCACCCAAGTCAGTCAGTCATTTTGCATCATGTAAAGATCGCCTTATGATTGACGTCTCAACTTGTAGCGCCTTCCTTGAAACTATTAAAAGTGAGTCTGCTTAATATCCATGTGATCCAAAACAAAATTAATGAGTTTCTAAGGGTATATAGCTATATGTAATTTTATTATTTTTCACTTTTTTTTTCATGCACACACAATCGTCATACGGAATATGAAAAAAATAAAAGAAATGAATAAACATTTCTTAGGTCCGTGGTAGTTATTGTACAGTCATGGAAGGGGGCAGCGGGTGGCGTTGGGGTGGAGGTAGTGGGAGTATGGTGTTATGAGGTAGTGGTGGGTGGTTGTGGTGGGTGGTATGAGGTCGTGGTGGTGATGCAAATATGGTGGTGGGTGGTGTGATGTCATGGTGGTGATGGGAGTATGATGGTGGGTGGTGTGAGGTACATGAAACAGAGAAGTTTGTTTGTGACATGTACAACAAGCCTAGGCTCTACCACACTTGGCAATACACACTATTTACTATTCTGATAAAAGTGACCTCCAACAAAGCAGTCTCAATCAATCAGAGTACCGTCCTCATATCCGAGTGTTGGCGACCACAGATTTGTATCTCTGGCGACCCAGTTTTTAATTTCACTCATCCATCCCCGTCTCTGCCTTCCCCTGGCCCCCCTACCCTCAAATTTTGCACTCTGATCCACTGATTAAATTGAAAGATATAGACTCCTGCGCATTACAATCAATAAAGTTAGTTCTTCAAAAGGTGAAACGGACAAACTTTATTGTGATTTGATTGATGGCAAATATCAAAGTGGGAGGTTTGCAGGGGATCAAATGCTTAAAGATAATGCACAGAATAGCTATGTCCTCAACACTGTCATTACCCACTGACAATGACAGTGAAATAGTGATGCTAATGATGGCATGGAAGTAGAATCTTGTGATCCAGATGAATTTGAGTCTGAGTGTGACAGTAAAGTGGTCTGAAATGTGTTGCTGCCTCTTCATGTTCTGCTTAATGTATATTTCAGCCATGTTAGGCATGATTTTGAAACCTGAATTACAATTTTCAACAGTGGAATACAATGCACAGTATATTGTCTGTTAAAAGAAAGTGAAAAGTTATCAAATTTGAGCTACATTTCATGTTTCTCTGACAAATAAATTCAGTACAAAAGTAAGATTTTGTGTGATGTCCTGAATATATGAAATGCACTGTTACTATGGAAATTGCCAATTTTCAACCATAATAGAACATTTTTGGCAACTAATACCGGCATATTTTTATTCTGCAGATACTTTTATCCTTAGAACAACTTGCCAGATGAAGACTCAAGAATAAAAAATTATTGATGAAGTTTTCTAATACAATCTCTCCTCGATTTACGACGGGGTTCCGTCCCGACGACCAGGTCGTAAGTCGAAAATGCGAAAATAATATAGAAATTCTAAAATGGGTCTCTTTTTCTTCTCAGCACCACGAGAACTCTCACTTTTACGCTTGCCAGCCATTCTAAAGGGAATTACAAACAAAAATTTTGTTAGTACACAGCGTGATCACTAACGTCGGTACTAGGAAATACGTAATTTGAGAAATATTTTATACAACCACGGCGGTCGTATGTCCGGGTTGTCGTAAGTCGAGGGGTACCTGTACAGTACAAGACATGTACTATAAAAAATTACTGTAGAAACTGTCAATTTTTATGTAAAAATGACCATATGCATCAACTAAGACATGCACATTTGGATTCTACACACATTTTTACTCCTAAAACAACTCGGAAACTAAAGCTCTCAGAAGATAAATAAAATGGTGCGAGCTCCTGGACTTTCACATCCATCACTAAGTTGGTCTGTCTCACTTCTTCTTCTCTTGATTATTTCTTTTATTATCTGTTATTTCTCATAGGAAAATGGGACTGCAGAAAAATGGCGCGTAGAAAACAGCTGGGGTGAAGACCGAGGAGAGAAGGGATATCTAATCATGACTTCCGAGTGGTTCCGTGAGTTTGTATTTGAAATTGTAGTGGACAAGAAACATGTCCCAGATGAAGTGTTGGCCGTTTTCTCTCAGGAGCCAGTGATACTACCTGCATGGGACCCTATGGGGGCTTTGGCCCGCCAAGTTACACCTCAATTCCATCTTTAATTTTGATTTTCTAGTTAAGAAGCTAATACTTTGGCAACACTCAATTTTGTAGGGGTTTATAACAAAGCTCATCGTCATCTTATCAGGTAAGTCTGTTACTTTATTAATTTAAATGATTGGTGAGTGATTATGTAAGTCATGACTTGTAATTACAAAGCTGCAGATCCAAGCTTTTTTCAGTGACTGTACTTTACCCCTTAACTGACTTGACATTAAACTACAGTTATCTTGTAACTTTGTTGAATGTAAAAAACTAATTGATATTTTTTCACTTAAACTTTAAGTACAGATATTGTATTAATTTCTTTTTAGTGTTAGAATATATTGTTAAAAGTAACTTTTCATATATAAACCTAATATAATAATGAATTCTGTATAACACTGCAATGTATTGTTTAGAAAATTTACAAAAATTTATCGTTAAATTGCACATTTATATCTGAGTAATTATTTTTAATTAAGCTTGTGAACCAGGCAGTTACAACAAGACTATGTATTAGGTACAGTCAACCAAAGATGCATCGACCCCACCCTTGCTCTCGTACTTTCAGTTTTACTTGGTGATCCGTGGGGTGCTGGTGCAGGGATACTGCGTGCCATTATTGTATAAGTTGAGTCTATTACACAGTGTCTGGCCTTAACTTACAATAAATTATATTATATAATGCTCATTGTAAAGAGAAATAATTCCTTCTTGGAACACTCAAGATTAAATGTGGAAAATGTTTTTCTTGAAATTTGATGGAGAACATTGTGGTTGCATTACCAATTCATTAATATAATTTTCTTTATTATTTAAGCAAATATACGAACATTTGGAAACTTGTCATGATCTTAAATAACGATGAATAGTTTATTATAAAAATGCTACCTTTAGATTGTTTAATATTTATGCTGACAGTGATACAGCCAAAAATAGATCCACCAATCACAATCCCCATTACATACAGCCTTACTTTGCCAAGAATTGCCAGGTAAATTTATGAGTATGTGAGCCAGGGTGGGGTCAGTGCATCTTTGGTTGACTGTACATCAAGGCAATGTGTGCAGACATTTAATATCAAAATTATTATAATCTGCTCTATCTACTGCTTCATATTCTCCTAATATGGTTTTATCATCAAATGATTAGAACATAATAAATTTTATCTTGACAAAGCAAGCATGAATTTTTCCTCCTCATTTATATATTTCACTTAAATTCATATCAATAAGTTTCTAATTTGAAACTTTACGTGGTCCTAGAATTGATTTTCATCATTTTGTCCCCCTACTGTACCATCATACATATTCATACTGTATACTTTTATAAACATCAGTGTAAAGTTTGAACAGGAAAACAAGATGTATGAAAATTTTAAATGCCATATGAGGGGTGCGAGGTTATTACTGAAAATGGGACAAGACTGTGTGTGGCACAGTATGGGTAGTAAAAATCTAAACTAAAATACACAAAAATACCTTTACGTTGGATTCCTGATAATTATCAACACAACATCTCATTTGGTGGAATCTTTGATCCCGAGAACTTAACAATACGTGGGAGGGAAAATCCAAAAAAATCTCTCTGGTCCATACATTTGCATGAATTTCCAAGTGCGATTGTGTCATGCACCGAGCATGGTTGGCTAGCTGCAAGGATAACTTAAGTCGTAGGCTCAGTGAGCTGGTGCACAATGATTGGCTACCACTATCATGTCATTGGATTCCTATAATTATATGATGTATCTCGCAGCCTATCTCCAACTATCTCAGAGATTGCCTAAGTATATATTTCCTGTATATAAATTAAGTGTCTAAGTGTAAAATGTGGAAAAATAAAGATGAAAAATATATATTACTGAAAACACTTTATAATGAATGCAACACTAAGAATGCAAAATACTTGTTGGCATCTGCAGTATGAATAATCATTTATGTCGTGATCACCAGTTATGTATAATCCTGCAGCATTGTCATATATTTTTCAACATTATTTTCCCATATTTAACACAATCACATGACACTTAATAAATGGATCTGTAGTCAAGGTCAAGTAAGGTGCATTTATCATCAGATCTCATTGTATTTGCACATCATAACTTTAAAGTTAGTTTTATTTATTGACTACCTTACATTTTTTTCCATAAACAATTCATTATTTTGATGTTCCTGAAAACTCCATTGTAGGTCGAAATATCATAAATCAACTAAATATATTATACAGGCAAGAGGAAGTCAGGAAACGTAACAAAATATAGGTTGCCCTTGCTGGGAATTGAAATTTCGCCATGTCGGTGAATGATTAGAACTATATAAAGTGGCAGTCAGGGCAGTTAACTCACAGTCATCTCACCACTCATACATTTTGCTCAGATCATGTATCCACTCAGCAGTAATGTTACCAGACAACTGCAGTTTACATAACTTCTGAGTATCTGTACAATAAAACTCTTAATCTGGATTTCGACTTTATCTGGAGTGGCAAACCACTCCGGACTAATTTCTGGATCTACTCATGTGTAGCAAAAATAAACAAACACTTTTGAATCACTAACCTGCAGTATATTCTCGCCCTCTTCCAACTTTTTTTTTTTTTTAAGTTGTCCTGCCTTTGGGAAGCCATGGTATTAGTCCACAGGAGTTGAGATGCACATATGAGGGCTGTAGTAGGGCAATTGGCTTGTAAACAAAGCGGCTGGGGTTGGCGTTCATTTGCACCAGATGGAAATCCAGATTGCCATCTGGATTTTTTGATTAATCCAGACCTTTTCCGAAAAGAAACAAAATAAAAAAATCCATAATAGTCAGAAGTCTGAGCACACCAAGAGCAGCAGTCTTTGTTTTCACTCACTTGGACAATCAGCACCAAGTACTCTCTATTCACAGTACAAATTTTGCTGCGCTTACACGGTGTGGACACATTGTTTGTGACTCGCCAATTTTTTAATATTATTGTGACTACTTTTTACTCATCGTGTCTCCCACTGCTGTTGTGATGTGTTGCTGGTTTAGTGCTTTGTTGGTAAGTACCCTTTGACTACAATTGACTATTAAATGTGTTTTATAATTTTATATTAAGTGTACAGGTATGTCTTATTGCAAGACATAAAACTGTGTGTAGTTTACTGAAGCACAAGTGTGTGGTGGTGGGTTAAGGATCAGCTGTTGAGAAGCGTGTTACCCCTCCATCTCTAATCACCCACACCTTTCTCACTCCATATTTTAAAATGTTATGTAACGTAATTTTGTGGGTAGATATCAGCTGTTCAATAGCTTCTGGCAGTGCTGCAGGTGCAGTGTTACCAAAGAAACTGATTGATGCATCACCTCCTTACCACTTACCGCAATCTCCCTCACCACGACCTCTATCATCAACACCTAAATCATAATTTCGGTGACGCAAAGATGGAATAGCTTCAGCCAGAGCAGAGCTCTACGATATCCACTGCCTCCCTCCCACCCACTGCATCTCACCTACACGCTGCCTCTCACTCATTCGACTATAATTGTCACTATTCATCAAACGACTCATTCATGATACAATATTGTTTATTTGTTATCCATTAATTAGTAAAGATATGTTACTGTAATAATCTATGTTTATTAATACCTGCACCCTTCAAATACAATACAGTACAATACCGTATATATCTCATACGTAAAAAATAACATCATCAGGAACACATATCCATATATGCACTGGTTTAATGACCCCATAATGCACTGTTGTAAGGAGGTGATGTAAGGTAGGGTGGTGATCTCACAAACTCAAAAAAGCTGGAAAGTGCTGGAAACTAATGAGGTGCTAATCAATATTTTGAAAAGTTGGAACTTGTGAATACAGAGGGTTTGCTGTAGTCTGCATTAAATATAAATTCTCCACAATGTTGATATACAGTACTGTCTTAAGAAGTTACACATTTGTGTAATTTCACTGAAAAACTCTGGTTGAGAAGTCATAAGCTGGACACAAATAACAGGATAGATAAACATTTAACAGAAGTACAGACAAATAAAGTGGTAATTGTCAGTTCTCACAACTTTTGAGAGAATAAAAAATGCAACACTGCTACAGCCAATTAAATGAATTAACATCCTTCAGTCAAAATCAACAAGGCTAGCAACCTGTGAGATACTGTACAGCATTACTACAGGCCTATATTAAAAATTAATATTGCAGGATTATGCAACATATAGAACACTAAAAAAATTTTGGTCAAAAGTCAGAGCTGTAGCAATTTATCATTACCATGTGTGACAAATTTAAACTAGAAGTATAAGATAATGTTAGACGAAAGTACCTTTTATGAAATAATTTTGAGGGATTGGCTTTAAATTTATTATGTAAACAAACATAAGTTAAAAAACACCTTTTATTCTACCTGAAATTTATTAAACTTCCTGGCAAGAACAAAATCCATATAGGATTCTAGAGTTATGGAAGCAACAAATATCCTTAACATTAGATATCAAAAACAGTATCAGGAGCCAACACCCTATAAAAACAATTCAGTACACCACATATTACCAAAGTATCTTGTAGTGAAGTGGTATAAAGATATAGTTACGTAATCTCTTCACCATAAACCTAAACCATAGTATTAATGCCTTCCTGTGTGGTGTATATGCACCACAGCTTCAGTCTACTGTAAAGATGAGGTCAAATAACTCAAACAAATGCATAGTATTAAAACAATACTGTACTGCCAAAATACAGTATAGAAATTTACATTTTTAACCCAAGGTGCATAAGCATTGTCAGTAATGTTAAGAAATCAAGTGGAAAGAATTAAACAAAAAAATAATCCATACAGCACCCACTAAACTGGGGACATGTTTCATCTATGAAATCATGTTTTGAAAAGTTAAATACTTGTGTAATAAATGCATGAAGGTACTATACAATCTGACTAAAGGGGGGAGGGGGGTACAATTCCTCTCCATTAAAAGAATTTTTGCTTGAAGCCCTAGGGATTAGGGTGATATTCATTATGGATAAAATTAAATACAGCTGCTCCCCGAATTAAGAAGGGGTTAGGAACCCAATTCCAGGTCGTAAGTCGAAAATGCTTAAATACTGTATGTACATAGAAAATCTAAATGGGTCTCTTTCTCCTCAGCACCACAAAACTCTCACTTTTAAGCTTGCTAGCCATTTTAAAGTGAATTACAAACAAAAATTTTGTCAGTAGACAGCGCAATCATTGACGTTGGGACTCGAAAATACGTAATTTGACAAAATTTTGGTAAGACTGAGGCGGTCATATGTCCGGGTGGTCGTAAGTCGGGGAGGAGATGTATAACCCATTCTTGATTTCAAATGACAGTCTTAAAAACTACCGTTTAAGAAAACTAACAACCAGTTAAGAATATCTGGTGCTAAATATGTGTGCTCCACTAGTCAACTTCTCAATTTTTAATAATGTACAGTGACAAACCCCGTCAGACAGAATAATTGGTGCAGAATATTTCCGGGGACTGGGGAAAGTTTTTCGAGAGCAAACTACGCATCTCGTATGGACAGACAGAGAGCTGTACTTATTTATGCAAACACTACTGTACATGTGCACTATATTATCAATATACTACTGTACTGTATACATTAATAGTATTGTACTCACCAGCAGATGCTGTCATCTTGAGCTTGTGATGTAGGTAGGCCAAATGGCGATACTAGGAGCCCTCGTTACCTGAGCTTAACACCAGAAAAAACTCTGACGGTGATTCCACATAAAGCAGGAATTAATTTCCATAAAAATTAACTGCATTAGGGTCTAATCGGGACCACCGCATTGTAAATGTCACTCAAAAAGTTTAATTTTATCTCTTAACATTTATATAGTTCCTTAGAAACATTTGTTAAATATTTGATTACACAAAATTATATAACTATAACCTATTTAACATACAATAACTTACAAGATGTTTGGGGTCGGTGTGTTGACGCGACGCCGGCTACCTAACCACACAGTCAGGCACTTGCGCACACACACTCATTTCAGTTAAAGTGGTTCATTGAGACATGCTATCAAAAAGTTTTAAAAATAAATAATTTTTAACATACCAATGATTTTTATTAGCTTACCTTCAAAAGGAGGATTAGTCAAAGAATGAGCAAGAAATGTCAGATACTGAACACACTCCCTGCTCTTCTTACAACAGATTACTTCTAATATC